GAATGTTCCATTACTCAGGATATTGAAGTGATAAATATTAAGAGAAGTGATAAATAAGATCAAGAATCAAAGATCACTGAAGATCAAAATAAAAGCCAAAGTTTAGGTAATCATATGTACAATAAATTCAATCTAGCCACCACTAATGAAATTTACAATTGCTATAATGGTGTAAGAAGACTCTTAAATGTAAAATCTTAAAATACTACATGTTATTCTAAAGCGGAGATATGTTTAATTTTTGTTATTGAATGTTTATTTTCCATCTTTCTTCATCGTCATGTACCCCCTTGTAACAGGCGACTGCCTATTATGTTCAATAAACTAACTAAATATTATTCTGCTAACAGTGACATTTATTCAAATCAATTTTAATAAAATTATTTTTGATAAAATCATATAAAAATTTCATTTAGAAATAAAATATAAAAGAAAAATAATAGATAAAATTTTGTTTCGAGAAATTTTTAGTAATTTAAGTTGAAATGAAATTTTAAAATTCATTCAAAAAAAATTCAATTTCCACATTTTAACTTTAAATTTTGGAAAAATCAAAATGATTTTCGTAAACGAGAAAACCGTATTCTAACGTCCATTTTAGAATAAAAATATTATGATTTCTTTCCAACTTTTCTAATCTGATTTTTCAGATGCATATTTCAACATCTTCCTTCAGCGTGAACATTTGATAAAGAAACGGATGTTAAAGAATAATCAAGAAGAATCCTCACCATAGAATAATGCAATCAATGAATGGTGGTCGCATTTACTCTTTATTATCTGTTTTGCCTTAAATCTGCATATTTTAGGAAGACGGTCAGTGAAATATTTTTTTTATTGTTTCATAAATCAAATTTAAAAGTGGTTTAAAAAGAAATTGTTAATATTTTTAGCCTGAAGTAATGATAAATTTTCATTTATCTTTTTGACAAAGTTCAACTTCTTAATTTAAACTTAGATTGAATTTTGTTGACAAAAATCGGATGTAATAATCTCTAATTTTACCTATTCATAGGTAAAATTTATGAATTCTATTTATAAATCTATTTAACAGTGCTTGTAATAAAATCTGTTTTCTTTATATAAATTATAGGGTGAAATTTACAACTTTCTTAAACTTTTAAAATGTCGACTTAAATTTTAGGCTATTAATTTTATTTTGTTTGAAAATAAGCAAATACCACAAGTAAATTACATTCTTAATGATATATTTTAGAAATTATCAAAATAATATTTTCTTTCCACGATAAATTATTTAAGAATAAATTTAGATATTTTTTATCATAAAAATATAATTTTGAATAGAATATTTAGGCATAAAATAATTATAATTTCTTGAAATTTGTAATTAAAGTTTTTAAAATTTTTATTAATTTTCGGAAAACTTCTCTGTGGAATAAATAAAAGATAGCTCATTGTATAATTTTATAGTACTATTAAATTTTAATGTGTACTGACAGTTTAATATTTTATTTAATTTTATCTGACTTGATTATTTTTTCGTTTAGAAAGAACCAGCTGTTTCCTTTCGTGATAAAAAAGAAGTCCACGAAATTGTGTCAATGTAGATCAATATTTCCAAAGAAATTTAATATTGCATTTCTTATAATTCAAACAATGTAACCCTATTTTATGTTACTAAACATGGAATCTATTTTGAAATTTGATTCGTGTTTCATCGAATCGTTTTCTGTTGATTATACTTCTAGAGAGCGTCCAATCTTTCAAACCAGTGATCCGTATGTGATTATGATTGTTAGTGTCGACCAACTGTCGATTTTTTCACCTTTCACTAGCTAAACATCCGATTTTTAGTAATGTATGTTTTCACATAACCTACCGTGTCATTTCTGATTTCAATCAAGTTAAAAGTATATGCCAGATGACATGTATGACAGTAAAAGTAAAAATTGACTTTCTACTTGATATATTTATAGCATGTAGAGCATGACATATGGCAAATGTCATACACACACGCCTTTTCTTTTTCATTTTTAATTTCTTCCTGTTATTAAATATATAGGCCTATATAAAAATAAATTATATTTATATTTGCAATAATATATTTTCTTTTACATTTTCTATAATTATTAAATTTTTTGTCTTTTTCTGTTTGTTAATGTTAAAAATTAGATTGACAAAGTAACTTGCATAATCAAATGAAATATGCAATATCAGGTAAATTTTTTATTCCAGAATAATAATAAAATATAAGTCTAATTTTTCATTCAAGATTTATATAAATATATAAAAACATATAGAAAATGATAAATCTAAATAGAGCATTATGACATTTAAAATTATAATTATTACATCGCATGTTTTCTAATTAAAAATATCCTATTATATTTTACTTGTAGGTTTAAAACTTTTGTCATGTCAATGAATCCGCAAGAAGCCATCTCGTATTTTAGATAGCTTCAATAAACTTTTATAGCAGCTTTTACTGCATTTTTTCAGAGAGTGCAATAAGTGGGATATATTGACTGAAGAGGTTAAGGCATCATCCTACCACTCTGAGGATCTGGGATCAAATCCAGGCGATCGAAACATCGGCAATTTTTCGAGGTCTGGACTCTGTCTCTCATTACCTCTCCACCTATTGTGGGCCTGGCCAAATTCCAATAATAATAAGAAAAAAAAGGCCCTTCTTAGTGTCCACTGGGAGGTTCCAACCATTAAGCATGACATTTTTGTACTTGTTTTTCACATTAAAAGTTTACGCAATTGATTGATAATTCTATGTATTGTCTTTTATATAATTTTGAAAATTAATTAACAGTTTATTCAATTACTTGCATGATATTTAGTTTTTATTTTAAAAATTTAATAATTTCATGATATTTTATTAATTCTCACTTTTATAGTATTTTAGCAGTTTTTCTATTATTTTCAACAAGTTGTTTTAGTAATTTATTAGATCGAAGAAAGATATTCATCCGAACGATGCGAGAGAAATGAGGTCGAGCATCATCATATAAAACAACGTCTCCTGACAAATAGCAATGAAATGTTTTCTCAAACTTAATTAAATATTTTATTATAAAGTATAAATGAATGCATAATGTTTAAATCTGCTATCCATATTAAAATCAGAAGCAATGTTATAGAAAATTCTATCGTGAATTTTAAATTTGAAATTAAAATAAATTTTGAAGAAAATTTTGTTTTTTAAATTATATATATATATA